AGAGAGAGAGAGAGAGAGAGAGAGAGAGAGAGAGAGAGAGAGAGAGAGAGAGAGAGTTTAATAGCCACTGGCAGCCAGACACTGCATATCTGAGTAGTAGTGACTATCCCTGCAAACAGTGCAAAGACTGATGGAGAACCATGACACACAAGCCTTAATGCTGCCATATTATTTATGATGTGAATGCAAAATTCCTTGTCCATATTCATTGTACCGGAACTCCTATTTTAGACTCATGACCTTTGATAAGGCAACAAACATGCAAAACAACCTCACCAATTCGTATTCAATCCACAACTGAAGTGTAAGCCTGTAAGGTTGATTTTCTTATTGTGTTGTCCTCAATCCCAGCTCCTGATTTACCTGAGAGTTACTTTCTGATCATAGTAATCAGAGTCAATTTCTGCTCAAGAAATCTAATCTTACCATATTGTATCATCAAATGGCATGACCAGCACAGAAGACGGTAAGCAATTCTGCAACCAGCAACGGAGAAACTGGCTTACCACATCGGATCTGATCTGCATCTGCATTTCCATTTGAGCTGAGTCTCTCCTTACGCTAACCATACGAGCACCCCTTCCTCTGATGAGTGGTGGCCATCCTACGGGAGAGAAATTGAATTCGCAGTCACATGTAGAAAGTATTTGCAAGAGAAAGAGGGTAACAAAATAAAGGGAAATGCAAATGCTAGGTGGGATATTAAGCTTTTCCAGAACCGCAAGGGTTTGATATGTGCTGTAAGGGGTGGTCGTAAGGTTAGCATATGGCATCAACATCATCAAGCTTGCAGTTTGACTCCGCTCTCTTGCCTGTCCACAGCCCTACCATGTTGCTGATAGACCGGCTTCATATTTTTCTATCCATCCTCCACAGACTGTGCGAGGTCGACCTTCCTTGCAACTCCCTCAAGTACTGCCAGGATGCCTACACCAGGTTCCATCATTTTTGGCTGTTTGCGTCTGCTGAAGCTTGTACAGCTCAACCCCAACCTTGCCACCTCCTGAGCCAGGTCAACATTCCAACAGCCAGCGTTGGGGTCCAAAGCGTTTTCTTCTTCTTCTTTTTTTTCCTTTTTTTTTTTTTTGGACCATTTCTCGATTTATATGTGTCATCCTTGTGCAGGGGCCATGCAAATCTTCTCTGTATCGTTCAAATTTTACCGGATGTCCCGAAGGATGGGGTCGAAAGCATTCTTGAACATTGTGTCATCCTCAATTACATGTTCAATGATTTCCAATGCGTTTGAGAGATTTCCAGTCAGCATCTCTAGGACGGTGATGTCGATTCATCGCCGAATGCATAGACATCCATCCTCTCACTTAGAATGCTCTTCCGCTAATTTGTTTTCCAGCTCGCGGATCCTTTCAGCCAAATCTGCATGTTTTTTCTCTTCTGCCAGTGCTCTCTCCACCTCCTGAATTATGGAGTTTTCAAATCTCCTTGTAATGATTTGGACCTCTTTCTCCAGCTGTTGGACAATCTGCGCTTGTCTCTCCACCTCCTGAATCCTTAGTTTGGACTTTTCGGATGTCTCTCTAATTGTTTGCATCTCTTTTTCCAGTTGTTGCACTCTCTCCCCTTGGATTCTCTCTATCGCCTGATGCTCAACCGTCACTCCCTCAAGTGCCTTCTTGCAGTTCTGCTCAACCATTGCTACCACTTCCTTAATTTTCTCCTCAAACTGCAGCTTGATGTTGACGGACACCTTATGTTCAAGCTCTTCAATTGTCTTTCTTGATACCACTGCTGGCTCATCAACAACAACCATAATTGATGAAGAAGCAGCTTGGAGATCTTTCGCACAACTTGAAGGCGACTCCTTTTGCTTTTGCCCTTCCTCTTTCTTGTCTTCCTCTCGCACTTGCACCTCTACCACACGGAATTCACCCTGACCTGTGAGAATGAGCTTATTAGAAATTCCACTTGGGATCATATTGAGAATCCCATATTTATCCCATTCAACGCATTCACAGGAAAAGGAGGACACCTGCTGGTAGCTTGACTCACTCCAAACTCGAATCTTTCCATCGGCTGCTGCAGTAAAGATATACGGCAAGTGCGGATGGTAGAAGGACGCGGTATTGTAGTCATAGTTGTGTGCCTTCCATTGTGCTATGCAAGTGCCCTGCCTGTAGTCCCAGACCCGTACATTTGGGTCCCCCACGTGGGATGTGATCAGATGTGATTTCTCCCCTCCACGGCAGAGTCCCATCCTACAGATACCTCCTTCACCATCATCACGCAGGGTTTTAATAATGGACCTTTTCCCCAAATCCCATATGTTGATGATGTTATCAAAGGAGGCACTTGCAAAGATCTGTGCCTCAGTCGGATGAAACACCAATGCACTTACATTTGCATTATGACCTTCAAACTTTGTCTTCTCCCATTTTCCGCTCCAGTGCCACAGAAACAACTCCTTGTACTGGAAACCTGCCAAAAAGCAAGGGAGGCTCCGATGGACAGCCATTATCAATGTGTAACTGTCACCAGTTTCTGTTTGCAGTTGTGTTAGAAGCCGTAAGTTTGAGCCTTGCCATTCATACACTTCATATATTTTGTCGCGCCTCACCACAATCCACTCTGTTTGCGGGATGAATCCAGCTTCACAAACACCGTACACATCAGGGACTACCCAGGAGGCAACCTGTTTCCCATCTTCATAGTTCCACACTTGAAGAAGTGATTTGTAATGAGGTGAGAAAATGAGCCATGGCTCACAAGGATGTAAATTGATCCACAAACACTCGTCACAACCACCTGGCAAAATGTCCCGTCCCTTTCTCTCGAACTTGGGCACCAGTTGAACTTCGCCTTCCTCGTGAACATCACCCATGCTTGACTTTCACACTGCTCCAAGTCCACGCCTGACAACCTCGTTGATGCTGCTGCTGCGTTGCTCCCTTCCCTGCCTGCACTCTCCAACAACCTCCGGTCCTCCGCACAGACGGGCGGTGCACTTCTACTCTTAGAAACCCGCAAACTTATATTGATCGTATAACAACCCGGAACTCCAACTCCAGCGTAAAGTTTTCTGCGCGTGTGTTGTAGCAACAGACAGCAGTCAGAAAGCAAAGATCCCTGCAGTTATCAACAGTGTTGTTTGGCCGCTTAATATCTTCTCACCCCTTAACTGTTGAAATACAGACCCGCGTTCGAACTCCACTGGAAACAGATGAGTGAAATACTACAATTCTGAATTGCCTAGGGCTGCCCAGTTCGATGATAATACCTCTTTTACTTAAAAAAAAATAATAATAATAATAATAAAAAAAAAAAAATTGCGGTACTGGCTCCTCTCCATTCTGGGGAGCATCAGTCCGGTTCCTATTCCACCAGCAACTTGAAGTCAGAAAACATTACAATAGTTACACACGCATGCTCCTCCCCATTCCGGTTGAGAGGCCCGAGTGGACGCCATTGATTACTTCCAGAGCGACGGATGTACCCCACCCCTCCCCCCTACCTACGTTAGCCTCCATGACTTACCTTGATCTGCTGTATTTTGCTAGCCTAACCCTCGCTATATCTCGCTAACTATTGCAAGCAACCCAAAGGGCCTGGACTAGTTCGTTCCTCTCGGCTACTTACTTGGCTGTCGGATTTGCATCCAGTGCTGGAGCAGTTAGCATGATTACGGTTGGAAGACGTGAGCAGGCAGCATTGGTTACTTCCAAAAGGAAGGAGGGTCCTCCCCTCACCCCTTGCTAAGCTAGCCTACTGATCTTTAACTGCCAGTACACGGCCCCAGCTGTGCTGAAAAAGAAACTCGTCACCTACCAAAATTTCGCAGGCTCGGCCTACCGGACCACAATGGCTGCGGGTGCCAGCCAAAAAAGGAAAAAAGTGCGTCGCTGGCCGTTCGGAAGTTTAAAGTTTGGTGCGCAGTAAAGCACCTGCAGGCCCAGGTGTACTGGTCGTATAAATCTTGCAGGCCCTTGGTCTCTTCCTGGTTACTCCGAAGTTTGCCCTCTACTCGCCAGGGTTTCATGTGCGCCGCCTCCCGGATTCTGACTGATGCCCGTGGCCGATAGCTGGATGTACTTGTGCCTTAACTCTGTGAACCTATCGCAGTCCCCCTGGAGTATAATGCTGTATGGGCATTGCCAATCATTATGCTGGAATGTGGTCATGAACAGTCCAGTTTTTCTTTGTGGCACATGATGCCCTCCATTAGAATAAAGCCTCTCATTTTGTGCCAAACTATCAGTTAACTATGAATTGTGTTGACTGTTCTTTTCTATTTCCGAGTGGCTCTTTTGCCTCTGGACTGTCTTGGTCTGTGAGTCCTTACTTTTTCAATAAAGCTGTCAGTTTTTGGCATGATATTCAAGAACTGTCTTCTCCCTGTCTGTGTCTAGGTCTGTGACTATGGCTGGGGTTTTATGCTTTCTGTTCTTCCTGACTTGCGATTGGCGTATGATGTGCTATTGTGTTCTTGCTATTTTGGTCCTGTCCAGTTGTGTTTCTCTCTTTTGATCTCTGCCCCTGCCACTGGGTGTTCTCCCCTACCTTCATCTTTGATTGGGTCCTTTCTATCCTTGTCTTTAAGTTAGTGGCTTTGGTGACTTGTGACTTGTTCTGTGTCTGTACTTTGTTTATCTTTTGGAACAAGCACGGATGCGGCAGGTTTTGAGTTCGCCAAGGCGAAAAACACGCGTCGGTGAAGAAAACAGCCGCCGAGTTCGAAAATGCAGTTTCGGTAGAAAAGGATCCGTTGGGTTCCCCGTTTGACACCACCTCCGACCCCTGTAGTTGTGACACTCGGCCTGACACCACGGCGGTGGTGCTTTCATTGCATTTTCAAACTCGGGGGCTGTTTTCTTCGCGGGTGGGTGTCTTTTTCGCCCATAGAGTGACATAAACGAACTTGCCCCTTATCTTTTTCTTGGGCTGATTTTTCTGTTTCCCTGATATGTCCTATTAATTATCTTTCCTGTTTTTTTTTAGTAGTCCTCTTCTGCATTTTCTTCTTCTTCTTTTTTTTTTTTTTTTAAACAAAACAGGTCCTTATGGCCCTGGCTCCATTTCCATTCTGGGGAGCATCAGTCCGGTTCCTACTCCACCGGCAAGTCAGAATAAAATATAACATTGTGAAAGTTGGTGAAACACACTCACGCTTCCTTCCGTCTGACTGAAGGAACCCTGACCAGCATTGATTACACCAGCATCGTGGAGGATTGACTGTCAGCTTGCCTTACTTCCACCTTTCCTCGCATGTCCACTGTATGAACCTGTCAGATAAATGATAAAGAGCAAGAAAGGTAAAAGAAGCTACGGAAGATGCAGGCTCAGAATTTGCCCTTCAATATTATGCGGCCTGTGATAGATCTTGTGATTCGTATCTATGTTGCACGCCCGGCCGCGGCCATGGGGTCCAAGTCGGCCGTGGCCTAGGCCGATGGACGAATCGGCCGGGTTCGGCCTAGGCCGACCAGCCGACTTCGGTGCAAGATTTTTATTTTTTTTTCTAGTGCATGAAAAAAAAAAATATATGGGCGTGTGGGGCTAAAAAAAACCTACACTCCTATATTTTTTGTTTTGGAATCCGACTTTGTTTAAGATTTTTAAGAAATCAAAAACTAAAATCGATTTAAACAAAATAAAAATATATATATAAAGAAAAGCAGGATTTTTTTTTGGTCATTTTTTATCATGAGATAGATGGTTCGTGAGTTTACCTGTATTTTTTAAGAAATAAATTTATGTTTTTTTGCAGAAGTATGAGGTGTTTTGAAAAAATGCAGATGAAA